AGACAATCACTATCGGCAGCATTCTGCGACGTATCTGCTAGGGCTGCTGTTATCTAGCTGGGTAGGGATTAAGGAGCTTGGACCATGAAACCTATGCAGATGCCGTCGGGGTACATTACAGCAATAAAATCACTGATACACCAGTATGTCTATGCGCTAAGAACATTCCCTGCCTATACATTGACCAAATATTGTGTTTGAACAACTGCACATATCAGTGCACAATCTAACGGTCATGCAGCGGTTTAAAGTTGAATATCTTTCGTCGTTGAAAGCAGCTGTTGTGCACTTTGCACTGTACAGTATCACACTGTACAGCGCACACTGTAGGTACAGTGCACACTGTTACGTAAATGTCGTATAAGAGGTGGCTACTAAATAATGAAAAAAAGTTTAAAGGCTTATATGACGGTTATTACGTAAAGATAATCGAAAACTCGCGTGCTTACTGCTTATGCACCTGTAACGAATCAATGACGGACAGCCGGCCCCGTAGCTCAGTTGGTAGAGCGTTGGACTCCGCGTGGTGAGAGCACGCGTTCCCGGTTATAACAGTACGGGTTCGGAGCGCGACGGGCGCTCGACATTTATGGGCCTCCTGACAGGTATGATGGTTGCGGTTCGTGGCAGGCCGTAGTCAGGCGACGTCAGTGAGGGGACCGGCCGTGCGCGAGAATGTGCGTACTGCGCACGTTAAACTTTGGACTCTAAATTCTGCCATGGAACCGGAATTGTGCGATCGGAGGGTAGGGCAGGGTCACCGTAACAAGCTTCGCTTAGCGGTGGCTCTGTCCTTGTGAATCCTTCCCATCAAAAGGTTCGGACTAAATTTATTAAAAAAAAAATAAAAAAAAATCCATGACAGATGTAAAATGACGATAATAACTCAAGGTTATGGTACAAGACAAAGCTTTCGATGCATAAAGTATCTTGATCACCGTCAATGTGATGTAGAATTGACAGTGATCAAGATACTTTATGTATCGAAAGCTTTGTCTTATACAATAAACTTGAGTTATTATCGTCATTGTACATCATGCACCTGTATATAAGTTATCAAGAAGCTTCAGAGCATCTCACTGAGTGCACCAATCACCATGTCTCACATCACGTCGCACGCGCCACGCGCCACCCAACCCCCTCGATCAAACGTCGCGGCACCTCTGCATTAAGCGAGACTGATAATCTCTGACTTGGCGTCCTCAGCTGTCGGTTGGAAACCATGATCTCGTCCCTGGCTATATATCTCTCATGACAAAGTCTCACAAGTCTTCAATCAGCCACAGCTGCGACACGCAGGGTGGATTTTCTTCGATCTTCCACGGGTACGTCAACCCCCTCCAGGCTCCAACACTGTGATGGTTTTCACGGCGAATTGGGAAAAACTAAGTCGAAAATGAACGTATAGCCGCCACTTGGGTAGCATTCGTCTTGTATGACCTTTTCGACACCGGGATAGACACCTTTATTAGCCGTTCCTCGCGCTACAACACTACATATGACTGGCAGTTCCGGGGACACAGTCTACGTCTAGCTACATCACTCATCAGTAAGCTGGAAACCGGCCTGGAAACTTGTGCTCAGGTTGCAGTTGTGTCGCCCCTTACAGGAACATACCTACAAACCGAAAATACCATTAGATCACATTTCCGTTCCTGGGTAGGCCAAACAGCTTTCGTCTTCCATTACCGTCTTCACCTTCTGACCAGTTGACAGCGTGCCCCTAAAAGTTACCATCCCACCTTAACATTAGTTTTGAGTTGAGATAGCCAAACTGGGGTCCTTGGCTTGCACTTTCCGGTTTGGGCAGTCACAACATCGAGAAAGGCTTTTAAATCGGAGATATCCAATTTCAAAGTTGCAGCCATTTGGTTTTGGAGGAGCTAATGCATTTGAATGCCACCTCTGAATTTGTGACGTCAGCGCAGATCTAGCGATTTTAAAACCTTATACTAACATCTCTCTGAAGCAGTGGTGGTAAACATATGCTGTATGCGCGTAACATCTGCTGCACTTTTAAGATACCAAATTATTGCTTCCAGACAGTGTTCTAAAATTTGATTTTGGCTGTGTGTGCCGACAAAGAAAGAAAATTCCTAGGATGAGAAAAAATGAAGAGAATAGCTACAGTATTCTAGTAAAAGAGTGTAAAGCCATTTTTATGCCAATTGATAAAGCAGGGTTTTCTGTCAGGATCTTGACAGGATCTGAAAGAATTATGGATGTGGATGCATTGACTGCGAAGTGCCAAGTCATAACTAGATGCCGGCAGCGCTCGTGCGTTGCCTTGGGCCAGAATTGGAGGATCCATAGCCCAATGACTTCATTAAAAACCGACTTTTGTGTCGCTAGATCGACGTTTCCCGGGATCAGAGGATCCCTCGTCAAAACCGTTATCCGCCCCCCGCACGCGCAGCTTGCACCCCTCGGATATTATCTCGCCGGAATGTCGTGATCAAATGTATTCTTCTTATGACCTGCAAGTTTTGAACCAGTTAGAGCTGCCGTTTACCCTGCAGGCGTGGCAACGTACGAAGGGGTGCAATCGGCTTGCACGCGCATAGCTCATGCACCACAGAGTTAAGCTCAACCAAATGTGCATTATTTTGGAGGCCTTGCCTGGGACTACCATTGAACCGATTTTGAGGTTGATAGCTTAAAATTTCTTTGAGCCAGAGGACCTCACGTCAAGACGGTTTTCCGACCCCAGCACATGCAGCCTGCACCCCTCGCAGACGGTGACCCCCCTGGAAACTGGTTCAAGGTGTTACCGATGTGTCCCGCCAGTATGGCTTTGCCCGTGACCTCGGGTTGACCTGTAGCCTTGACAAAAAATTTCGTGTCACCGAAACTTTGAAGCGGAATAGCATGTGCCAAGAAGCACCGAGCGAACCGAGGCCAGCACCAAAAGTTTACCTCGCCGGAGACGAATCAAACGGTCCCACTTTCGTCCCGATCGGTCCACCCATTTTGACTCCAGGTCCAAAAAAGCTTGGACAAACTCACATACTCACTCACTCACTGACAAACAGGTTCAGCCGAACCAAGGCCCTATATAGAAGGTATGCTCATTAGGCCGAAGCAGCGATTTCCGTGACGTCACAGGTACGAAGGGTCGGACGGCTGTAATGCAATCCTATGGAAAATGACCCAACTTTAGGGCTCTCCCACATAGCTGCCAACCTCGACACTAAGGTAAAAATTATATCACATAAAAGCTCGAATCAAGACGAACAAGAAACCTATCTGACGTTTTTACCTATTACTGACGGCTTAGACTCTATTCAAGTATATTCAGAGCTCTGCATTACCTCACTTTTTCTGCTGTCAATGCCACTACAAATGCCTAGTCGGCGCACGTGCGCTTGTCGAGCGGGGACCACCAGTCGGGCGATTCGGAGCTGCCGCCCAATCAGAACGCCGCAATGCCGTGACGTCATTGGTCGCACACGACACGTTACGGAGATAGGGATGAGACAGCCCTGAGCCGAACCTTTTTTTCAGCGACCCACCAATGGGAATTTCCGGATGCAAAAGCATGCTATCGCATGCTTTTGATCCTCCAATTCTGGATAAACCTGGCTGTTCGAAGGCATAAAACATTTTCTAAAGATGGAATAATGTCATCTTTCCTGATTTTTTTTTTTGATGAAAATATTCTCCCATTACTCATTAGGTGTGATTTTCCACCCGAAATTCTAAAAAAAATGGAACACTGCTTCCAGATGACGTCGTAGGAACAGCGAAGGCTCTGAAAATTAAACAAAAGTAATTGTTGTCTAGTTTCTCAAAATCCGACTATTATTTTTTGATAAATTTTGGAAGCTATTCGTTTTTACTCACTCTTAACCATGCGTCACAACTTTTATGCCAATTCATTAACTCTTTTTTTATTAGGTGGGAGGGCCTCTTTAACAGCTGACGCAAATGCTGTCTCTACGTCCCTGTATTTTGGTGATATCATGTGTCTGTGTGCAGTGTGCACCTCAGGTACTCAATTGCACATTTTCTAGAGCAGAAACTACGGCATGATAGTGGCAAATATAGTGGCGTCACGCCAGCCTGCACATTGACACCCCCCACTTTGTCCTTCGCACCCAATAGCAAGGGATCTTGTTTCTGTGGCGAGGCTTCAAACTACTTCAAGCACATGGAATCGTGATTTCATACACTTCTTGCAAGGTCTGATGTTTCACTGTTGCATCGTTGACCTTATGTCACGTTATTTATGACGTCACTAAGACAATAAGAGTTTTTCGTCAATAACTCCCCTATTCCGATCAAATAATTCCGATCAAATTGTGCTAGCGAGTAGCGAGTTGGGAAAATCACAAATGCAGGTCGCGGCAAGACCTACCAAATTGAGTGGTATGCGGCATAACCTCCTTTTATGACCTGAGTGGCTATCTCCTGACCTTGAACCAAGGTCAACACCCTAAATTGACCTCACCTAGAAAAAAAACTTTATATATGATTCGACGCACTGAGCATGGAGAATAGAATACAAGGATGGCCTAATTGCAGCTCCGCAACTTTTTTTTTGCGAGGCTGTTTAGGTACCAAAAAACAATCCTGTACTTTTTCGTACTTGCCCTGACCACAGAGGCAACCGCTTGACCTGAGACCTTAAAATTGGGTACCAGTTGCTGCGTCATAACTGGGTTCACGCTCATTTTTTTCCACGAGGCTCTAGCTTAATTAGCGACGAAACAGCTACGTAGTTCACACCCTCCCCCCCACTCTGTCTCAGCCGAGATACATGGGGAAAACGAATGGGTCCAGCGCGGATTTATGTCCTACGAGTATATGGCTCAATGCCTCGCTAGTTCAGTTCAGGGCTACCCACCTAGACAAAGGCAGCGTTAGCAGATATGTACGTCGCAGAATGCTACCGATAATGATTGTCTCTTACTCATCATTTTAAAGTGTTTGATTGGTTATCGCGCGCTTGAATGACTAAACCCGACGGGCGGCAGGGATGGGCAGCTCCTGGCGCAAACAGTTGCCGGCTCGGTGTCAGTGGGGTCGCACCTCGCGCACCCCACTGACCGCCGAGGGGAGCTTTTTTTAGCAGCTGGGAACTCAGGCCGTGACAGCAGAAGACCGTACAACTGTCGATCTCCCCAATATTGAGAGTCAGAGCAAGCCCAGTCAGGATCCAACGCAAACGGAAGAAGATGGGACCGGTGAGGGTCACGGCCCGTCTTCTGACGTCATTGATGACGTTGCTGGTGGTGACGTCACTCTTACCATCTACACTGGGCTGCAAAGACACTTCCATCTGCCGATTCTCGTGCTGCACTGCTGTGCCCAACTGTGACGAGGCTAAGCAGATTGACTGCGTCTGCCCGGTACTAGATGAGGTGAGCATTGAGAGCAACAGCATTTCAACTGCAATTGCTTTACTTGACAAGTAATTGTAACCTAATAATGATGCTCCTACCAGCATCATGAACACCTCATAGTCATAAGATAAGTTGGTGGTCATTCCGTCATTTTCCATCCTCAGGACAGCCAAATCCTTTTTCTCCACAACTCAAAGGTCAAACACTCGTAATCCGGGTTGGAGCGTGGTCTTGATCCCGCAAGGACCCTCTCCAGGAGCACTCCTCCAACTGTAGGCAGGCTCCTCTCCAGAAGCAGGCCATGGCCGGGTGCGGCTACCGTTTGCGGAGCCATGGGTAGCTTGTGCGCGTGAGGGGCGGAGCTCCGGTGGAGCATCAGGGTGCCCACCCGACCAATGTCTTCCCCAAATTCCATCATACTCCCGGCTCTGCAATAGTCTCGTCAGACAAAAAGAGCCTAACCCAGCAAAGCAAATAAAAGAGATTCAGGGAACAATCAAAAACATTACTTATGTCCTTAGCAAATCATCGCTGGACTAACAATTTCATACACTTTAAAAATCAGAGGAGGTATGGCCACGACTCTTGAGTGGTTCATAATTTATCGGTGGAGTCGGTAAACTTCAAGTCTGAAGTCGCAACCAAATGGGTAAGCTGATAAGGGTTGTCCCTTACTATGCAATATCTAAACAAAATAAAAGCATAGGATAACTTAATTACAATAAATACGACGGATAGTTTTCACATCTTATCTTGCACCACGTTTGATACGAAGAAAAAAAGGTGTGCTGGAGCATTACAATAATTTCGGTGGCGGATCTAGGACTTTGCATGCCTTGGAGGTGGGCCCACACCCCAAAAAGGATGGTTCCCGAAGAGTTCTCTTTCGCTTGTCATTCGCTGCAGTGCAGTTCAAGACCTTTGTCATGCAAAAATTGTTCAGTCTTCTTTTAATCTTATAACTGGTGGGGGCCGGGGGGGGGGGGGAATCGGCTCAACCTGTACTTTTTTTTTGCTCTCGACGGGGAGCCACTTAAGCTAGAGGCTCGAAATTTAGTGACTTTTCTTTACTATTCATTGAGCACATTATGTCAAATTCTTTAGTTTCTAGCTTGCGCAGAGGCGTCTCTAGGACGAGTTTATCGGGGATAATTTTGGTCCAGCTTTGACTGTTCCGACATTCGCCGCTAAGCAGCGGCTTGCTTAGGTTTGTACTGGTGATGTGGCACCACCCGTCATATATGTGCACCTAAAGACTATGTGACGTCATTTCACAATGAAAATGTTTGAATAGGCGGATCCAGGTACCTGAGAATGTACTGTAAATGTACTATCAATGTACTGTCCCCGTCTTAGCGTGCCTGAATTCGCCTTTGCTTAACGAAATCGTGCATTTTGTGCTCACGTTGCATATTTCACATGATATATCACACATCATGTCAAAAGACACATGACCTATTAAGACAAAAAACATCATCCCAAGTTAGCTTACCTGAATTCGCCTATGATTTTTGAAATATCCAAAATACTGGAATATATATGAAGGCCCAGTTCATGAAGAAGGGTCCCCTAAAGTTTCCTCAAAATCGGTAAAAAAAAGAAGTTATAGCTTTTTAGTAATGAGGTGTGAATCGTTATTTTTTTTTTGCTTCCAGGAACCCCATTTTGACCTTTTATAGTCAATCTGATTTCTGAAAGTTAACGATGAAAGCAATCAAAAGACGTTTGTCCCATTAAAGATCAGGCATTTAGCTTTTGAGATATCTAAACGTAGTCTAGAGAGCCCACCATTAGGGCTAATGCAAGGAAAACGTCCACATTTTGTCAATTTTGAGGCTGCTGGAACAATTATAATGTCCAAAATGTTCCGTTCTCGTAGTTCCACCAGTAATAAGCATGTGAGGATAAAACCATTCGTCTGATGGGCTGTTTCGGTTTGTACGGTTTCAGATGATACTGACGCCCGACTCCATCCCGGCCGGCACCACTTCTCTAAGCATCTCCAAAGTGTCCAACTTGACCATCGGAGGACACTCTTTCCATCGTCTGAACTCACTGATACACTTCACCGTGAGCGACATTGGAGCTGTTATCATCGGAAGAAAAGGGATGAGTCTGCATCCCAAAAATGTGCTTCGCATTTTCATCGCCAGAAGGGTTGAGTCATTGAACGTTGACGAGCATGGTTTGACAGGCAAATGGCAAACCGAGCCTGAACAGACGACGATCATATTCGAGGAAATCAAAGAGCTCAACATCGCTTCCAGAGGACTCAGCTATGCGACTTCGGAGTCGGACGAAGGGCTCACTGTCAGGATCAGTAACATCGCAACCCTCTCGCTGGCCTCAAAGGCGTTTGACGCCCGCATCAGAGATCTCCTTCTAGAAAACGTTAGCATGCCACAATGTCACATGGGAACTTTTGAAAACAAAATCCACTCACTGGAGTTGAATAAGGTCACAATACTGGATGTCAAAACGCGATGTTTCAATAGCGTTGGGGAGCACGGCAACGGCCTAGATTGTGGAGTCCACATCACAAACAGCACGCTGGGAACTGTGAAGTCGCAGGCGTTCTCCGGAAATATCACAAACATCAAACTAGATCAAAAAACCCTGGTTGGAAAAGTGAATAAGCATGGTTTTCAGGTGCAGGCCAAGGACTTCATCGTCAAAAATTCCAAGATCGACACCCTAAGCTCCAAAAGTCTTTCGGTCACTTGCAAGAAAACTTTTGCAATCAAGGATGTAAGCATCGGACGTCTTCGCACTGACGCATTCAAAGACGTACGGGCGGTGCGGCAGAGTGTCCCTACAGTAAGCCTGGAGTCCCTAGAAGTTGGTGTCGCCGAGCCCGGATCGCTGTCTTTCCAACGCTGCCTCTGCGTGGATGCCTCTAAGCTTCACATCCAGCTGTCTGACGAAGAGAAATGCCCGACAGAGCAGTGGGCCCGCAGGATTCTGGGAGTTACGGATCAGCAGGCGCTATACTGGGAGATTCGTCAACTGTACCAAAGTCTGCGTGAAAGCAGCAGCGGCTGTGATAAGAACGGGGAACCTCAATTGACAACGGCAGTCGAAGACGAGTCGTGCCCGTACCCAGACGACGCAGAAGAGGTAGTGGAGAGCGGCGTGAGCGGTGAAGAAACCAGCGAAGGTGTCATCTCTGACGAAAAACGTCCCAGTGGTCAGAATGAGACAGGTTCGAGTGGAGGAGTGTCTGCTTGCTGGAAGTGGGCCGCCATAGTACTGATGGTGGTGGTGGTGGTGGCGGTGGTGGCGGTGATGTTTGCACTGAAGATGTGTACATTTTAACCCGCGCCCCACTGGGGTCTGCGTATAACACTGGGGGGGGGGGGGGGGCTATTCATAGCCCCCCTCCTAACTCCGAAACTACTGGGCCGATCATCAAAATTCAAACGGCGTCTGATAGCTCCGGAAAAACTGTCAAGCGAAACCTAATTTCATTGACCTCGAGGTCACTGATGACGTCACAGGTCAGGTCAAAGTAAAAATTATTAGCATTTTGGCTTCTTCACGTTTTGGGCTCTGGCCGCCGTCTTACAAGTCAAATCAGGCTCATTTTTGGTTCACACACTCGTGAACAGATGCTCTAGATACTCTGAGGGTACCAAACTTGTACTTTGTTTTTCAGGTCAAGGTCAGGTCATCACAGGTCACGAAAATATTATATCATCCGTCGGTCACGTGACACATGTTTTATGGTCCATTTAGGCCAAACATTTCGAATTTGATGTCGTTTGTGTCATTCGAGGTCATTTTGAGTCAAATTTAGCTTAGGCCAGGTCACTTTCAGGTCAAAAAAGGTCAAATTTCGAAGCTATAATTTTTCAACAAAAAAAGGTATCTATTGAATGCAGTTTGAGCTCAGAAACACGATGGTGCTATTTATATTGGCGTACGATGTCAAATTCGTGCTGAAAAATTGATTTGAAAAATTAATAATTGTTAATTTTTTGCAATAATGCGTATAACTTGGCCATTTTTGAAGATATTTAGCTAAAACTTGCTAGAGTTAGTCATAATAAAGCGTTCTATCACATATATTTCGTTTTTTTTGGAAAAGTAAAAAAAAAAATTGAAAAAAATGTAAAAATATAAATTTTGAATTTTATTATATACAATTTTCGACATTTTCAACATTTCGAAAATCCGAGATAGCAGTTTGATAGCGCAGTCTATTCTGAGTACTCTCATGCAAAGAAATTGGATCTAGCTTAAAAACTGAGCTCTTGGGAGCGATTGCCGTGGTTCAATGTTTTGCGTCGAAATCGGCCGAACATGACGTCACTCTGACGTCATTTCCGGCCGACCTATGGTAGATACGAAGTTCAAATTTTGACACAAGGTGTCAAATTGATGCAGCCGAAGGTACTGAAAGTTTGGCGTCGATACGTCAAGCGGTTTGGAAGGTATTGCAGAAAAACGGGAGGGGGGCTATAAATAGCCCCCCCAGTGGGGCGCGGGTTAATACATATTAAGTGCTCTTTCTTGTAGTTAACTCAGGCAAGGATGCGGCGTTTACCCCGCGACCCATTGGGGGAGGGGGGTAAAGGGCCTCCGTGGTTTTTCGCAGATAACTCAGAAACGGCTACCAATGGGGATGTTCGGCTTATTTCCTCACCAGGTGGCAGCACTGCCTTCTTTGGACACAGAAACTGTGGCGGCGAATGCGCCACTGTGTTTTGCACTGTGTGGAGTCCGTGTCGGTTCGAGGGACTGAATTTCGGTGAATTTGATAGCAATTGATTTGAATTTTGCTCAGATGGGTTGTGAATTTATATTCAGCAAGTGTCACAAACATGGAAAGGCGAGTTAACAAAGGACAGGAGACTTAGAAAGGCTTCAATTGACGTAGCCGAAGAGAGGCGAGAAGCCGAAGATAGACCGACACCAAACGGTAATTCCATGGATTTGCCATGGATGTAACACGTTTCCAGACATTTTTTTTTTGGTGAGCATGACTAAGAATATAAATAGTCTTACTTAACTCATAGCTGGATCTTGTATTGCGGCTATTGCCCATATGAAGTAATTTACCTGTATAAGTTTGTGGGCATATCAATATAGGAAATTGACCTGCCCTTTGAGAAAGGCATTGAAAGATGATACATGCTGCTGAGAATGATCATATAAATTCAATGCATTTTTATAAGATTCATTGCAAGCATTTTTAGCAGTGTTCTACTTTGTCTGGTACCAAAGATGTTGCATGCAGATAAAGGTTTTGATGGAAAAAGACAAATAGTATCTATTTTGAGTACACCAGCAACCAGGAGGTAAATGTAATAGAACTTTAAGCTACCTACTATTTATGAATTGTTACAAGTATTGATCATCCTACATGGTGTTACAGGTGCCCAGTGCAGTCATGCTTCTGGTGCGGTGTCAGTTTTAGACCACTTCCATTTACGGTGAAGGATCGTTGCCTCATGGGTTGATGGCGAATTCAATGAACTTTGATATTCTATATTTGCGATTTCTTTCTTTCAAATATTTAACAAATGAGAGCAAAAAATCCACTAAGTGCGTACTCTTATACGACTTCACCCTATTTTTCTTTTTTAATGATTGGCTCGTAAAACATTGCGCGTGTGCGCCTTACGAGTTCCTATTGACTAATTATCAAGTCCCGGAACCGTTCTAGAATTAGAACAAAAGTTCCGTGCAGGGAGACAGTGAGCTATTAACATTACACAAACACCAAAATGCTTAATTCACCTACAAGAAGCACACATATTACTGATTCGTAATACACTCTCAACCCACCAAATCAATATCTTCTCAACTACTGTTCCACTAATGGTGCTGGTATGCGATTATTCTATCGGTTAAGCCGGAAGATCGTGGCAAAATACGGTCTGACTCCTGCAATGTGTTATCGGTATTAAGTGGAGGGGGGAGGGGGCCACCGATAAAGACTATCACACAGGATGTAAAGAATATGCACATTTATTACGATAGCAAATGGAACTGCCATTACTTAGTTCGACAATACAGACGTAACACATAAATAGATGACAGGATTGGGCAGGATAGGATGGGGTGGGGATAACATGGGGTAAAAGTTGAGTGGGACGGGGTATAAACATGGAGTTATAAGGATGAGACAGGGTAGGCAGAGTAGAGGTGGGGTGGGGCGGGGGTAATATTGGATAAGAAGGATGAGGCAGAGTCTCACAGAGTAGAGTATCAGGGTAGGGGTAGCATGTGGTAATAATAGGGGTGGACTAGGATAATGCAGAGTAGGTAGAGGTGGGCAGTGTAACACAGGGAGGGGATAACGGTTGGGGTTACGTGGGGTACTAACTATTAATGGTGGGATTGGATAACGCAGATTGGAGGTGGGACCGGCTAACAGAGTGGAGGGGTGTTTGTGGAGGAATGGAGTAAGAAGGTAAATTGGGTGATGTATGGAGGGTAGAATAGAGTGAGGTAACACGGGGCATGAGCGATGGAGTGGGGTAACTTAGAATAGAAGGGATAGGGAAAATGTGGGGTAACATGGGGTTAGGAAGGTGTAGTGGGGCGGTATAACATGAGGTGGAACACTTTGGGGTAACATGGGACTGAATAGTGGTGAGGAGAAGTAAGAGTAAGACATGGTAAGATTTGTTACTGCGAGGAACGACGGGTTTAAGTTGCGGTAGGTAGGGACAAGGTCGGGGCACAAAAATGATGGCGTATTGCGGAGCGCATTTCTCTCTTCTCCCTCCTCTCCCACTCTCTTTCTCTATCCCTGCCTCTTTCTTTCCCTCTCCTTACCCTATAGGTATCTCTCTCCATCTCTCTGCCTCTCTCTCTCTCTCTCTCTCTCTCTCTCTCTCTCTCTCTCTCTCTCTCTCTCTCTCTCTCTCGCTCTTCTCTCCCGTTACCAGTGTGCTGGAGTGTCACCATCATTCTGCATCCTCTGTTGAGTGTTTGATTCGAGTGTAAGAAGACGGGGAAATCAAATTCGTGTTTCTGTTTGTGAAGAAAATAATACAAAAAAAGAGAGCGAGAGAAGGAGAGAGGGAGAGAGATAGAGAGAGAGAGAGAGAGAGAGGAGTGGGGGTAAGAGAGGCTGGCGACCACTACCCACAAAGACAAGACGGCACCTTCACAACAACAATATAGTATTAGCTGCATCAGTACATTATTAATCGGTCTGATTCAAAGACCTGCTCAAAGACAGACATACAGGCATGCGAATATATACAGGCGCTCTGTCGGTGACGTCATAACATCACCGACCATACGGCACAACACATTGAGCAACAAAATATTATAGTTTTAGTACCGAACGGTAGCTGAGGCCCGCGACTGGCAGAAGAAGAAAACAAAACCGACATGGTCACGTGACATAGGAAACTTTCTCAGCCTCTGGCTGGCACACGCGTTCGATTCATCGAACCCGAAGTGAACAGTGCTCGCAGCGACCGGCCGCGGCGATGCCAGATGCGAGAGTTGCCAGATTCTCGGCCCTGGCACAGATATATCAATTATCGAGGACATTGGTGACTAGATCCACATCGCGGCGAACAACGCAACCAGTAGTTGGCGTTCTCGCCGCCAGAGGCGCTACTAGCGCGTTACATCCGCGCCAGGCCGTCTAGGAGCCACGCCGCATTCAAATGAACTTTGTACAAATATAGGAAAATATCTTCCAGCGAAAAGATATTTCAGACACCAAAAAACATGAGGCCAACATCACATCCCTGCAAGACACCGTCAATGGTTTGGCCCACCCGGCCATACCACCCACAACTCTAGCATTTCACCACTCACTAAAAATACTCATCTCACACAATCTTCCGCAAACTTCCTTCCCTTCACTTCACACCTCTCACTTTCAACTAATAAATATCACTTGCGGTACGCATCACCGTGCGTCGAACTTCCCACTCACTTAGTCATGGAATTCAAAATAGAAATATCCTTGGTCCTGCGAACGTGCTTCAACCACCACTACCACCTCGTCTCACGCATGGCCTAATGACTAAGCAAGCCTCTTTGGTATTGACTCATCAGGGCCGGTCACCAGGTCTAGAGTTTGCAGAAGGACATCCAGTTCCTTCACACTCTTTTGCGTTGGTAGCGACACAGCCCCGTCGCGGGCGACGTCGGAGCCGGCGGGGGGCGCCCGACGTAAGTCCGTCGAAGACGACGAGGACAGTTTCGTCGTTTCCGACGGCGGCGACGGAGGCGGCGAGAGGTCGCTGGGACGACTGACCGGAGTGGCAGCCGGGACCTGCCGGGACAAAACGACAGTGTGTTATCCGGGGGCTTCAACAGCCGTTAGACGGGCGTCAGGGGCAGTATGTGAACTCAGGGAACAGCAGCCGTTAGACGGGTGTCAGGGGCAGGATGTGAACTAAGGGAACAACAGCCGTTAGACGGGTGTCAGGGGTAGGATGTGAACTGGGGAACAGCAGCCGTTAGACGGGACAGTACCTACATACGTGAAATGATGAGGGAACAACAGTCGATAGGCGGGAGTCGGGTTCAGAGTAACATGGGGACCTGGAGGACCAGCAGTATGCGACCTAGGGACCTGCAGACGAAACAACAGTAAGTGACCTGGAGGTACAACAGCCGTTAGACGGGTGCCAGGGACAGTATGTGACCTCAGAAGTCAGAACCTTGAAAACAGCGGCCGGGATCTGCGGGGATGAAACGGATTTCAGGGGGGGGGGGGGTTGAGGGACAGAATGGGTTCCCGGGGACCAGCGGCGGGAACCTGCGGGCAAAACCACCATCAGAGGCAGTAGCGGCGGAACACCTTCAGTTAAAGGGGGCACTGCCGACATTTGGTCCCATTCTTTCCATGCAACGCCCAAAGGACTAATGTTAAAATGCCAAAATCAAAGGGGCATGGTGCCCCGGTGCCCTCCCCGTTCCGCCGCCTATGATCAGAGGGGTGTCAGAAACAGTGAGACGATAGAAGCGACTTGAGGGAAACGTAACGACAATTTTATACATACAATGAAACGCTTCGATTTAAACAATTGAGCGGTTGGAGAGAAATGTCCGTGTCCTCGTAATTATGTGACGATGTGACGCAATTTTCCGAACAACACTAGATAGGGGAGCATTGAAAAGACAAAGCTGAAAGGGCTGAAACGACTAGTCAAAGCGACAAAGAAGAACGATGCAATGGTACTGGGAAAACCTCTCTTCATTTTCAAAGTTAGTTAACAGTAATAAAATTAGCCGCAAGAAATTATCAAATGGTGAATTAGGCTCAAGAAAAAGAGCACGCGAAATAAAAAAGAACTGTTGTCATGACAACCTGCGCGCTGACCTGTTCGCTTCGGCCCGCCGGCAGCTGAGGTGGCCGTCTCATCGACGTCGGTGCCGCCTCCGCCGGCTTCGAGGCTTCGTCTGTTGCCATGGCGACCGTACCGTTTCCCGTTGCCATGGCGACCGCACCGTTTCTGCATTGGGCTCGACCCCGCGGTCTGAGGCGACAGAAGAAAAGAAGAAAAATGTTATTAAAAATACATAGATAAGGCGAAATTTACAGGCATGGGGGCCGCTTGTCTTCCAGAAAAACAGCTTTAACTTTTGTGGAAAGGGAAGTGACTCTAGGCACATTACAAAAAAGCTCTTCTTTTGTCACAAGTTAAACAAGATGGAAATAAATTATGAGTATTTTTTAATCATTTATATATAATGCCAAAACAAACGGTAAAGCTCTAATAAATATTAAATGAACCAAACGTTATAATTGAAATAATCGTCCTTCCATCAAAGGCGTCAAACGACTGTATCATTCCTCTAATGACGTCAAACATCTGTATCTTTCCTGATTCCTCCAATGACGTCATAATACCTGCTGCGGCGTCGCCAGAGTACAGCAATCAGTAGAAGCAGCAGCAGCAGCACGGATAGCCCGCCCAGAACCAGCACCAGTGGCTGAAACTGGCCCGCCTTCAGCAGCGGCTCGTCCGGACGCTCTGGAACATGCATTGTGCGCATGCGCGTGCAGAAGTTAGCAGGTTAGCTGGGGTTAGGCGGGTTAGTGGCAGGCGTTAGGTGTGTTTGGTGTAAATAGTTGTTGAGTGGAGTTGAGGGTTTGACGTGAGAATGTAGAGTTGGTTTAGTTATTTGGGATGAAGTCCTGTGAAACGTGATTGTTTTTTTTTTTTACTCAGGCGTTGTTGTGCGTATACGACGGTCGTTAATCCTATTTTGTCTCTGCGAAGACTATGCAATACAAATTAATTTATGGCCCAGACACGAGGTCTAAGTAAAAGTGTTAACCAACCTAGGACATAGGGTAGAGTGGGGCAAAGCGCCCAGGGCGGGTCAAACGCCCACCCCTCTTTTTTATGAAATGCTCGACTTTTTGAAGAATTCTCGATAGCCATTTTCAAGAACGAGCAGGAATCTACTTTTGCCCCCTTTTTCGGTTCTACAAGTGGGTTGTTCTGGACGTAAGATAAAGATTAGTTTATTTCAGACAATTTTTAGATATTACATGTTTCCATACTACTAAAAACTTTGTCTGATAGAGATTAAAGTAGGCAATGAAATTTAGCTACGTAGAACTTGCGGATTTAAGCTATGTTTTGAGCATTTACTGGTTTGCAACACAATCGTCACACGCTTAATTTTGGTGGACTTCGTTTTGAATGTGCTGTTGGGGTAATACGCCCACTTTGGTGTGGGGCAGAACGCCCATCATGGGCGTTTTACCCCTAATGGGAGTTATACAGTACGGGTATTTGCGAGCATTTTTGGCTGAAAGTGAGTGTCGGGATACGTTTCTAATGCTCAGGATTCTTATGAAATATGCAATATACTGGTTAGTATCGCCTGGAACAATTTATTCGCACGAACTAATCTCCGCTCACCAAGGCGGTGACAGCCCGTTGACTGAATGAGGAGTGGGGTGGTAACAACAGTGTTCAAGATGTGTTTAGTGGTGTAATCTATCGATTTAAAGTCAAACAAAATGAGAATGGATAAATACTGCATTCTTTTGTCAGAGTACCGAGCGTGTAATGAAACGTTCAGGACTGGGCGTTATGCCCCACTCATATGGGCGTTATGCCCCATGGGTGGGGCAAAACGCCCGATTTGTAGTCCTCTCAATTCGGATGGCATATCTAAAAAACCATGCATGCCACTTGTTTCTGATGTGTTATTCGAAGAAAGCCAAGGTAATGAGCTACCAGATCAGCTGCCTAGTTGTCTTTCAAATTTGTAAGATAAAGAGATACTGGGGCTGGAAAGTTAGGGTGGGCGCTTTGCCCCACCCTACCCTATCCCGAAAGATTTTTGAAGATCAGTCAATTCATTCGAGTAAAAAATATGTTTCTGTTTCACACATAGATCGGGTGTGGGAAATTGCTTATGTATATAGCTGGTAATTATACCCAAGCCCTACATAATATTTATTGCGTGTGCAAAACGATATTTTATGTAAGAGAGCCGCTCAAGTTATCCTGAAATATGTGTTGTGTGTATTGCTTTCTACTTTTACGAAATGTAAAAGCGATCACAATCACTATTGACAGGTAAACTGAGCAAGCTGCTCCAACAAAAATTAATCTACAAATATCTGGTCTAGAACAACTAGGCAAAACCTCGAAAAAAGACCACGGGAATATGCATGCCAACTAAAAACGATGTGGTTCGTTGGGTTCCAGGAAAAGTAAGCACTGTTGCTACCAAACGAGCCAAAATTGGCCGTCTCTTAGAACAAATAATAAGAGGCAATGCTATCAAACAAAAACTAGTCAAACCGCTCTACTGGCTGGCTTGAACTCAAAAGTCACGGTTAATTACAATAGCGCACAAACAACCAAACACCAGCTGGTTACATGTAAAGCTCTGTCACACCAAAACAATCTACAAGTTTATCTAACACCTATCGCATTCGACGCTTTGGCCGCCGGCGATCTACACATCAACCACAACGTGAAAAGCATGCGCCGTCGGTGGGATTCGAACTCACGGTCGCTAGCCCCAATAACCGGCCAGAATGCGTCTAGTGGCTTCCGGGCCTAAGGTGTGGCCCCGTGGCAGTACTGTGCGCACATACACACAGACAGACGCACAAACAGGGCATAAATGTCAGCTGTGACGGGCACACTGCCTTTTACGAAGAAATGAGTTAAGGGGACATAATTATGCCCCCATCAGGGTAGTGACTAAGCACACCTGCAAAAGTACTTCTTTTCTCAAAAGTCAAACAAGATAAAAAGATGATATGAGTATACAAGATTTTTTTATAATAGATTTACGCGAGCTTTAGGTCTGCAAACGCAAACTAATTGAACATCTGAGTCAATTTACGGGGGTGGAAAACAGCGATCCCATATGCCAGCTATTCACATTATAGTTTACATGACGTAGCCGCAACAGAAGACAGGGTAAACACTTCAAATAGAATACGTTGCAGTCAGATGGGAAAGAGTCAAACGGTACTCTAGTCACATTTCACGATTTTTTCACATTACACGATTTACGACTACATGAAAGGTGTAAGCCCTTTGAACACTAAACTTTGCACTAAGCTCTCAATATTACCACAAACTCGTGACAAAAACTGTCTCTGTAACCAACAGAAGGGCAGCACTTGCACGTCATACACTGTATGTATCATCGGCGATCAATTATGTGATCAAATGTATGATCAACTGTTATTACCTGAGTGGACCATTGCTGGTTCCTCTCCCTCCATCTAGCAGCATGTAAATATACGGCATGTACTGATTTTACGCAAATGCACCTCTCCTCTCATACCGGTTTTCAGATAAAATATTTCATTGGTCTCATCAGCACAGTATTGCAAGATGCGTGGAAGAACACGTCTCTCTTACACCCTACTCAACTGGTTACCATCAGACTTTTTGACACGACGAGCTTGGACATAGTCAAAGAGAAGATCGCATTATTTGGAAACGATGGGTATTCTGATATAGTTTAACACGATTTTAGGTGCAGGTTTGAAGGACAGTGATGTGACTTTTTGTGGTAAGCAAAAAGGCTCCATTTTAACATCCGATGGGTCCTTGTGGTTGACAATACAGTGAGCTATAATAGTGCTGTGAACAGCCTGTGTTGCACTTTTATGTATGAATGAGGCATTGCCAGAATGATTTATAAAAAAGATACGCTTACATCAAAGCAAACACGTTTATATAAGGAATGCAGTTTACGAGAAAAATGCCAATGCAGAAAACCATTAAAATCAGGTTCAAAACGTATGCATTGTAGTTGCTGAGCGAAAGACTTAAGAGTAATGGAATTTCTCAAAGTTGTAGAAAAAACAGTAAAAATATTGAGGCAAAAGAAAAAAGAAAGAGTAGCATAGATAGGTATGAGAAAGTAGGAGAAACGTAGCGACAGAAGGAAGAAGAGGGAAGGAAACTCAGATTAAACAGTGCAGAGAGAGAGGGAGAGAGAGAGAAGAGAGAAAGAGAAAGAGAGAGGGAGAGAGAGGAGAGAGAGAGAGAGAGAGCGAGAGAGAGAGAGAGAGAGAGAGAGAGAGAGAGAGAGAGAGAGAGAGAGAGAGAGAGAGAGAGAGAGAGAGAGAGAGAGAGAGAGAGAGGGAGGGAGGGAGGCAGAAGGGAAGAAAGTTGTTATTACGTTTGCGTTAGGCTAGTACTTTTTACGCAGCATTTTCCTTTAATCCCGTTTGCCATGCTTATTATTAAACACCCTCACCAGGCACCAGTACTTACGTTTAATCGCGTACACAGTTTTTCTTTCACATCGTTTGCCTTTGAAGCCCTCTGCGCATCTGCGAAAAATCATGAACACGTTAGACGAAGTAAGGATTTTGCACTTTATCGGATACTGTAAGAATCAAAATACAAATTTTAACCACTCACGGTAAATAAACGGTGATGAGGAACGGATAAGGCTTGTAGCTAATGCAAATGATTTAGGTATGAGAAATACCTAAATCACACTGCAATACTGTATGATGTGAGTGGATTCCAAGCAACTGCTGTTGATGCAAAGTTTTATCAAAGATAGAATAATAATAATTTGAGTTCAGCCATATTGTGATCACATGATATTAACCAAAAGTGCACACTAAAATGTCTTATCCCATGCATAAAACACAGCAGCTGAACATATTCCATGTTTTTTTTTCTGGTCCCTAGCTTTTTATTTCTCGTTTTTAGCACTGTTACCTAAGTGTTTACAATCAAAACATACTCACTGGCAAACGTACTCCATGACACTCCTATAGAGCGTACAGGAGCCGCCATTGAGGCAGTACGACGGTATGTCGCACGCTTCAGCTGCTCGCCACGAGTCCGCTGTGAAACAAACGCACACACACGTGACGTCACAAGATCCAGCCAATCAGCGTGCTGGGTTTGATAAAACACCGCATAAAACATTTCCTATCATGCTGTTTGAATGAACTGCTATAAAGAAATCGCACAAATTACACTTGTTAGATGATCTAAGCACCAATCCCATTTTTATTTTCATAAGTTTCATAAAAATCATGTCTCAAAAACTGTCCCTCCGTGGAAACTTTGACGTCAAAGGTTCTACCAATCATCGTGTTCCATTTCGCCACCTGTCACCAGATGGACTGACTGATTTTTCGTTTGAGTTATTGGCAACGGAAATCGACGTTCGTTCATCAATTGACGACACGTCAGACGAGTCCAGCTGAAGCGTCATTTTGGGCTTGGGGAGCAGCCAAGAGGCACCCGGGATCCTTCCCTCCCTACCCACATGGGGAGTGGGCAGGGTCACACAGGTCAGTTTAACACATCATTCCAGCTTAATATTTCTCCTTATCCTATCATACCACCGCCCATTTTGGTTTAAATAAACTGAAATGACTAACGCGACAAAGGCAAAACAATACTACCAGCATTTCTGTTACTTTTGTAATATTTTTTTTTGTATTATAAAAAAGCAAACCTTCAATGACATGCTCATTATGCAACAATGAAATCATCACTCCCTGCTTATTCTATCATCATGCCAAACACCCAACGCATTCAACACCCCAAAACTCACGTGGCTTGGGTTTGTCGGGTCCGGTCGGTTTAGGGGTCGGAGGTGGCCGTACCCGCCTCTGGAATACGGCCACCCGGGCTCTTTTTGAGCTCTCGCCGGCCCGGTTTTTCGCTCTGCACTGGTACGATCCGGCGTCGCCCGGAAGGACGCGTCGAATGATCAGCAACGACTGGATCCGCCTCTTCTTCCTGGGGGACGGATAGAATGGTTTAGCGTAAGAGCGTAGGTTCGAATCCGAGGATGGGATGTGCTTTATGGTGTGAGTGATGACGGATGGAAAATTGGCTTGCTTCTCATTACAGCAAGCTATGAAATTAGCATCAACAACTGGCATTGCTTGAAGAAAAAAAGGTTTATTGTTTTATTCCATTTAATAACTATTATTTGTTGATTATTTATTCCCTACCTTATACAACAATACCTACCAAATGCTTGTTTGAATAACGGACAGCTTGTGCGTTACATGGTAGCAATCCCACATTTGGCAAATAACCAGTGTCTGTCTTATTCCATCGTACAAGGCACGATCACTTTTCGGCCGGAGTTTTCACTCTGAGAACTAATTAATAGTCATGACATCGGAAAAGGCGAGACGTTCTCACTAAACCAAACTGTCTAACTAAATTTATGAAATTTATGGAATCCAACAATACTGAACAATTGTCTTACTAAACCAATGCGACCCTGAATATCCTGTGTAACCTTGTCACGGATAGTCCATTAACGAATACATTCATAAAGTATTCAACAGCGACCACCTGCCCTGCTTGCGCAACTAAATTAGATTACCCTCGCTGTTGTTTGTCCTCAGACAACACTCGCTAGCATAAATTTTCTAGATCCCAGCGTATGACTACCATTTATCATCAGAAGGAAGCAAATTTGACATCTTGGCTTGCTGCCAAGTAGCCCCCGGTCACTTCATGAACTTGGCGTGGGATTTATCCTCAGAAAACATTACGTTAATAGCTGGCGGCAGTTGTTTACTCTAGCCAGCGTTACAACATCAAAGGGTGCGAGATTGAATGGAAATCTGTTGGCATTTAGCGTTAGTGCTTTGGTCAACAGGTGATAAGGTTTCCGGCAGCAGAGCCGCAACCGTCTTGGTCTTAAATTGAGCGTTGAACTTATTCATGATCGGCGATCTAAGACAAACATATGAGAAACAATACCATTCGTGTGTTACAATCGTGGGCAATCGTATTCTGACGGAGCAAGTAGGCATGCAATTGCACATATACTGGCAGAATGTGTTCCCACACAAAATGCTGTCATCTATCTTCACCACTCTGCTCACCTGCGCCTTTCTCCCTCTCTCTCTCTCTCTCTCTCTCTCTCTCTCTCTCTCTCTCCCCCCCTCTCTCTCTCTCTCTCTCTACCTTCCTCCCACCTCCCATCTCTTCACTCTAGTACAATTACTCACTTCTTAGTCCTGAACCGTATCCTTCTACTGGCGTTCACGGGCCTTCCGTTGTGATACCAGGATACCCTTGGTAATGGAACACCCCGTACTCGACACTGTAGCCTCAGGCGACGGCCGGCTGGTAGTCGAACACTCTTCATCTTGGCGATACGAGGAGGCGAGCGACCTGAAAACGAGGGAAAGGGTGGTAAGTAAAACGAGGGTTAAATGAGTCAACGGAGACGTTGAAGGGTGGTTAAACAAGAATAAAAAAAATGAAAGGGTAAGGGCATATATATTTAATGGGATATTGAGGCAAAAGAGTGACAAACGTGTAAACTCAGTGACAATAGGGAGATGCGACACAAAAATCGCATATCTGTGACATTTATTCAGTTCTTCAAATTAAAAAAAAAAATGTTAAAATAAAACAGCTCCTTCCAATTCGTCATAATGTATGAAACGAAAATCCACTACAATATTACAACTCCCTTGCCAGCCACCAGGTGAACCCTCCTTTAGCCGAGCCTCTGTCAACCTTGTCACCGACTGCTAAAGCGGGCAGCACTTCAGACAGACAGCCATCCACCAGCACATCGAATCAGGGTCAAGGTCAGCACAGGTCACGTGACCTCACGAGCGGGCGGCCGGGCGGGCGGCAGGATCAAAGGATGTAGGTCAAAGTTCACCGCTGTCGCCGTCGAGGGTTTGCGGAGGGTCGGTTTGGAAAGGATCAGTTGGATTTGGCTGGGGGTGGAAAAGGCCTCGGATGGAGGTGTCGAGTGAAAAAGGTTAGGACGAGTCTGACAGGAGTTGTGGCGCCACTAAGTGGTTTCTTGGCATGAGCTGTAGCGGGCCCGGTGCTGGCGACACTTCAAGATAGACTGGAGCAAAACATAGCGAAGGTGTACGAGCGGGTTGATATGGTGAAATCGCAGAATTCGTGAGAAAAATCATGAGTTTTTGTTAGGTTAATGCAGTGAACGGTAGACAGTGTTTGTGTTCGATGTGATTCTTTTTTTCAAGTAGTGTGTGAATTTGTGGTATCGACATAATTTGTAATTGCAAGATTACAAATCATGTCGATAATGGTAGATGACAAATGACAAATGACAAATGGTAAATCAAGTTATGGCTTAGTAATCGTGTCTTTTTTATGTCACATAAAAGACTCCTTCACGTTTCCATGGATACCGTTTGTCTTCACCGCGTTTCCATGACAACCACTCATCCCTGCCGTCTGCTCGTCTCCGGAGAGGCGCTGGTGGCGGCGAGACGGCTGAGATTTGTATCAACAGACCAGCCGCCATGTTGGTTTTGGCTTCGAATGCGCCCGACCGTGGCGAGGTTTGAAACATGGACGAGTCCACTTGCCGCCGAGGGGAGGTCACTAGGACAGGTGCCTTTGGCGCATCGCTTGCTGATATTTGTGTTACTCAATTGTTCAGTGAGTGATAACTTACTGCAGAGACATGAGCAGAGTAATGCGTTCGAAAAGGCGCGATTGGGGACAATGATTGGCATAAAATTCGTTTCAACGCATGTTTTTACAACTTGGTATAATAATTAGTATCCTAATAGGTAGGTATATGTTTTGGTCACATGAAGTTCGCGTCCAGGAACTGTTAAAATCCTAATTTGCCGGCTAATAGACAATCCACATGCTCAGTGATCACAAGACCCAACGACTCTGTTTCTCCAAAGGTAACAAGGTCTGAGACATGATGACCTTTGTCGAGTCAGAGTCACACCTCCCACCACTGAGTCATCACCGATGATTTGACTCTGTTGACTCTCCCAGTGGTTTGCCAAAAAATCACACCTGAAGACACATGGAAAGGCCATTATGTCCACAAATTTCACCACAAAAATACCCTGTCTGGTCATCTGACTCTACATCAATCGCGACTCCCGGTAGTCATGTCGACTCGGAGTCAATTAGCGTCGACTCGACCGCGGATTATATTACTTATTAATGTTGACTCTGGTATCGTGACTCTGAGATCAAAGCGGGACCATGACTCTGTGTTTGCCTTCATAGTGAGAATATAAATAAACATTGCGCTAGCCTTCGATGCAAGCAAAGATCTATGGCTTGGTGCATCATGGATAACAAGGGCGATAGATGCGTCAATAAACTGTTGGTTTAAACAGGAAGTATTTGAATTGCATTCATTCATTCACGAGGTAGTACACATAAGCATTAAGCGAACCGATTGGAAATGTCTGAAAACAGCCTCGGAATCAGGTAATAGTCGCGTTTTGTAAAAAAAGCATCGCAGTTTGTAAAAAGCTGATATCGGTCGGTGATTGTAAATAGTTTTCGTGACTACCTGCATCGATTTTGCATCTATTGATATAGTTTCCCTTTCTGTCTGAGTTCAAAAGAGTCTAGGATTCACCTTTCGATCTCATGCTCTCACATCCGGTCCAGGTTGACATCTCGCTCTTATATTATCAGTTGCATCAGACCACCTGTCGCCTACATAACCTTCACACTACTGATGTAACTGAGGGTGATGTCACCACGTCATGACGTCACATCAGACGTCAGCTAGATCAGGTGCCTGGGGAGGGGGCTGGGGGTTCAATGGTTTGCGGTCTTTCTAATAAATATTTGGGTCTTGTGTGATTTATTTATCTATAGATAACATGATTAATGTTATCTATTAATAATGTTATCTATTATAATGTTAACATTAATCATGTTATCTATGATTTATCGCATGATGAGTTACCCAAAAAGGTGTTTCACGTGGCTATTCACAACATTATGAGCACATTTCGTTCCACCCATTGCAGTTTCAAACCTTTCAAACCATTTCGCCCGCTGAAGTAGCTTCAGACGCGACACCGTCATCCCATTTAACGCTCAATGAACAATGTCACTCCTAATACAACACGACAGGTTCTCGTCTACAGCCACAGTGACGTCACCACTTGATGACGTCATGACATAGCAGCTCCACCCACCCAAGCCGCTGAAGAGTGCCGCTCAGGCATTATCACGAGTGAGTGATGATTTCATGACATTGCTTACGTTGTACTGCTGGCTTGTTGAAGGAGTGTTTGGGGCGTACTTTGGACAGAGTTTGCTGTAAGATTGTCGATGAGTTTGTCAGTTGTCAGGGCCTGTTGTCATTCTTTGAGTGACAAGGTGATGTCTTCATATAGATGAATGAGTAATACAGTGAATCTATAAGCGAGACCTTTTGGGTTTCGCTAGCGTAGAAATGCCTAGAAATGTAGAAATGAATTTCAGTTTGTTGATGTGATTTGTAATAACTAGCTAACGGATATGGCCACTGCCTTTTACTGGATTGTATTCTAGTTGTTGGTTCAAAACTAATATATCAAATTGTGTGTTTTAAAACAACCATTTAGCTTTATCTATTTCCGCATAATTTCTACATGTTTAGATGGCGTGAGCTAAAAATCATTCTCTATTCCTTAGCGACATTTTATGACTTTCGATTCGACATGTTATCTACAAAATGCATATGACACCACCTTTGCCTATCTTCCTGCTGTTCTTTCCCATTACGAGTTGTTTTCGACCTCCCTCACCCGTGTCGGTGGGGCAGGATCCAATGATGCACTCAGCACTCGACAGATGTGCCCTGGCACGCAGGCCAACCACCATCGAAAACACCGTCCGGTGCCAGCAAAACGCAGACTTCTCACCGGAAAACACGCGAGCGAAACGATATCGAGTCTGGCAAAACCCGGTCGTGTTTTTACTTCATGTCCCGTGCGCTTTCTCAAGTAGCAGCTCTGGGTTGGGTTCAGTTTTGTAACATTTTCCGGAACGTATTTAGGATTGGGAAGGTGTTGTAGCTATATTAAACATCGCAAAAATATCCAGCAAAGTCATATGAACATTTACTGTACATTGATAACACAAAAAGTTACCCGTATTTCGGCAAACAAATGACGATACGCGCCGACCGCTATTTAGGCAGATGTCATGCGGCACAGTCTACCTTCAGGCGCTGACACGTAGCGCCATCTATGGACAAGACTTTCATATGTACTGCGGCACAGTATAACCTCCCCACACGTCGCTGCTGCCATCTATCCGCAGAACCACGAACATTGCTAATAGATACACGACCGCTGAGCATGTTTCGTGCTAGTTCTTCCTGAATATCGCGGCTAGCACCGGTACTGTTTTCAGTGCGTAGCTGACGTTTCAGGTCTGAGTTCGTACGATTTTCAGTCGACCTAGCTCTTGGCACCGAAGATGCCGCGTCAACAGACTAGCCGTCATTCGATAATCGGACACACCCAGACCGAGACGGCTTCCTCTACCACCTATCACTCTCACCCCCTCCGGAGTGGGGAGGGAGGGGGGGTAGGGGGTGTCACGGTCACCAGACTTCGGTCAGTATGTCCCCGGGGTCACTGCCCTCGGGGTATCTGAGTCAGCGTGTCGCGCGGCGAGACGTGTCCGTTTAACGAATGACTCCGGCGGCAGTTGGCAGCGGAACCCGGCAGTCTGGTCCGGGGTCCCGACGGACCACCGGCTCTCTCTCTCTCTCTCTCTCTCTCTCTCTCTCTCTCTCTCTCTCTCTCTCTCTCTCCCTCTCCCCTCTCTCTTAGGACAGGGCTCTTTTCTGCGCACTCGCTCGGCGAACTCCCCTGTCATTTCTTCAGTCGTGTTTTTATTTATCTTCATTTCTTTACGCATTTTCTTTCTATATCCCCTACTCTCTCTCTTTCTCTTTCTCTCTCTCTCACTCTCTCTCTCTCTCTCTCTCTCTCTCTCTCTCTCTCTCTCTCTCTCTCCACAACATCTTCTGTTTCTTCACTTATCAATGTTTCAATGCATGATTCAATTCACCATTATTTCAATTCACCTTCATATCTTCAATCTATTTAATTTCATCGTTCTTCAAGTCTTCTCCCTTTCTCTCTCCTTCCCCTCCCCTCCCATTCCCAACTCTGATCTACGTCGCGATACGCTCCCAGTAACCCCATGACCTCCTCATGACCCCGTCCCTCTCTCTCCCCTCCCCTCTCTCCCCGGTCAAATGTAAACCGGTGCACCGCCCGGGGCTAAATATTATCATCCTGCGGGCAGGGTGCCGGGTCATCCCTAGAGGTCGCTAGCGTCGCCACAGGCAACTGCTGCGCCGGAGTCGGGACATGCATAGCGGGAGAGCCAGACGATAGAATGCAGGTGGC